AAATGCTGGCTTAATGTTGTGTGGAATGCACATTTGCCTTCTGCAACATATTTGCTCTAAAGTGAGGTGTTTAAAATATTCTTATAGCATAGTTATACAACACCTCATAGGGAAAATTTTTAACTGTTGCATAAACGTTTATACCACTATTTTATACGGCATATTTGCACGTTAGTCAAAATGGTTGTGATGTCATCCATGGTAACGTTTATAAAACAAACCCAAGCCTCGTTGTTTTGCTGTGCAATTTACTACTTTAGCCAACAAATTGCTCCCAGCGGAAGCACTTATACAATTGTTTTTTAGTAACTGTTAAAGGCTGTACATATGCTAAATATGTTGGTATACAACTTCACCATAACCTAACTTTCTGCTGTCATATTTTTGTTAAAATGCCATAACCAATGTTTTAAGACAAACAACGCATGCATATTGATTCAAAATGTTTTATCAACTGTTCAAACAGAAGATATAGATCTGGTATAAATTCTGGGTAAATCATTCGACTCTGTCGGTATTTCATTTCAGACATTTGTCAAATTGTTATATAACACCTGCAGGCAACACCAAAATATTCTAATAACCTAAAGACAACATGGACGATGCCATGATTATACACAGCCAACCGCCATATTGCGCAAACATTTATTCCTCTATTTAGTATTAAATAATTATGTATCAGTTCGAAATTACAGGTATAAAGTGATAAACATTAGTGTAATTGTGTCTAAGTATAGAATTTGAGGAAGATTTAACACAGATAAGTTCAGTTTTCCATCTTAAAAATCCAGACATACTTTTGATCATTATCAAAATATGAATCAAATACGAAGCCCGTAGAAATTGCGTAACTAATTTGCACGATAATCACAATAAAATTTGCTGCGCAAGTAATTCAATAGCCCTATATCACAGTGTAGAACTTTATCAGATACCTGTGTATGAAATTCACAATGGCCGATATGTAAGTAAACAAGATGACTGTAATGTATTAGTTATATATTCTTCTTTGTCTATACAATACATAAGAAATAGTTTTGTTGCAATAAAGTAGAATCACGTAACATAATAGTTGTATAGTTGACAAAAACTGAATCTTGCACTGACGCAAATGTCCTATAGCGGCAGCAAGAGGCTTACACTTTTGTTGTATAACTGTTACCTGCAGCCCTTACACAACCTTTTAAATGACTGAAGTGCCCTATTAGGTGTGCCCATTCCGCTTGTCTAGCAGTTCTAAGAGGGTTTTGCCAATGTTATTACAGCATACAATGCTGTTTAAGGAATACTGTATAATCATTCTTGCAACTCTAATAGGAGTGATAATTGTTAGTTGGGGTGAGTAGCAAGATCGCATCTGGATGATTAAATTATTACTGAATATGCTGCCAATGTGTTAATGTACGTTATTAGCTGTGCCTGACAGGTTATTTATATATTGTCCTTTCTGGAGAGAGAACTTTTTTACGTATCATAAATATTCCGATCTGTAGCGTATTTTCTCATCTGTTACTTGTAATATACTTCACCAACCAGGTATTACCTTTTCTTTCTCTCATTTTTAAAATTTACTAAATTTGCATATGTAATTTCCAAAATCAATAAGAAAATGTGGATGTTCAACTAATTTCTAGCTTTAAAAACAGCTCAAGTAAGTGTCTTCGAGACAACAAACGAATGGAATTATCATCTACTCAGATTATTAGCAGCACACAAATCCTCACTATGCACCTAAGCACTTACAACTTAGACCTCAAAGAAAGCCATCTCTGCGCACATCAGAACCAAACTGAATCTTTAGATGCACTTTTCACCTCATGAAAACAAACCTTTTGCCGTACCGCTCGACATTTCCACAAGAAAAGGAATGAAATCCTTTCAATCTCATTTATATCGTTTCCTACGCCATCGACATTGAATCGGATCAAATTCGATTACCGCTTAGCAAGGGAAAAGAAAGAATCTCACCCAATCAAGTGTGCATTGATATAATCCAAATCGGATATACCTCGATCGTCGCTTTTTTCCTCACCTTGGCTGCTGATTCAGCCGGCTGTGGAAAAAACAATCGAACACCTTTTTGCACACCCACAGCCTTCTTGATGGGCGATCCCGAGGCAATTAAGAAATCTAAACGAAGAGCTCAACGTTAACGAATTGCGTTTGCGAACAGTTATTTTCGGAACGCGCGGTAGGAAGCTCAGAAGTTGAGCCGAGCTTTATGCGTTGCTCTATTACACGCCGTATTATGTTAGCGGGGAGTGAGATCGAAGGATTTTCCGGAAGTTGAATTACGAGTAGCTGCAATATGAAGTTCCACGGGACTGATTATTATTTGATGAGTTTGTATGTGTAAGTAGTTTATAAGTAGTTTAGGGATAGTCTTGAAGATAATTTAAATTCTCTTACTTGCTTCACAGTGGTTTAGTCGTGGTTTAAGGCTCTCTTAATTGAACGAGTTTGATGATATGCCCTTTGAGGAGTCCTTAATAAGAATTTGTAGATTAAGTTTCAGATCGAACAGATATTTCGTGGTATTATTTTCCGGACGCTGGAATACGAGGAGTTGCAATATGAAGTTCCACGAGGCTTGATGAGTTTAGTAGTTCATATTTAGTTCAGGAATGGCCTTGAAGATAATTTAGATTTTGTTACTTGCTTAATGGTCTCTTAAACGTAAGAGAGCTTGATGACGTACCGCTTGAGGAGCACTTAACAGGAACCTATAGGTTATTTCACTCGAAACAGATATTTTCGGAAAGCGTGGTAGGAAGCTTAGAAATTGAGTCGGACTCTATGTAATATCAAAGACATTTTGAGAGTTGAAAATACGAAGAGTTGTTATATGGGTCTAATTATTGCTTGATGAGTTTGTGAGTGGAAATAGGCTAAATAGGTCTTGAAGTTAGTTTAGATTCAGTTACTTGTGCGCTTGCGAACGGATATTCTTCAAAGTGCAACGAGTTTTGGGTATGGCTCTATGTATGTATTGCTCTATTGTGTCAGTGCAGAGTAAAATCAGTGCGTGGAGGAGTTGCAACATGAAGTTTCACAAGACCGACCATCATTTGATTATAATATTCAGTCGTGTGTAACTCGTAAGAAGAGATTAATATAATCTCCTTCGCATTCCAATCTAGTCGTACCCTATACATCTAGTTGTGGTCTGTACTCCTTGGTTCCGTGAGTATAAGCGGAGGAGAGAAATTTATAACTATTTAGCACTAGGAAAGTGTAATCAGAGACAGTTTCATAATGTAGCGCTGTCCAAAGAAAAATATCTCAAACTAAATAAAATGTAATATCAGTAGAGCAACAGTCACCTAGAATTCGTAACATTTAAGTTACATCAACAAAAATGCCCATTACCTCCAATGGAAGTCGTGATAAGAATTTGTTAGATTCTAATGCATTCCGCAAAGGAAAAGTTTGTCTAATTTGTAAATGAAATAATGTGTGGTACGAAATTCACTTTCCAGCATTCTATTGTAACAGTATCCGTTTTAATTTACATAACTCCATTATCGACTGATACTGAAGAAAGTGCGACGTATCGAATACATTGTAATGGAAATGCTCTCATGGTTCTCATATCTTTATTGAAAAAACTAATGAACTTGGCATACAGTGGAAGCTGTGAATCTGATCACAACTGTCAATGAGAAAGTCACTAGTAGTTGCTTGGGTTAATAGGATGCGCAGATCACGAAACCGGTGTTTTTGGCTGAGATTGGCAGGAGGTCCAAACCGTCCTTTTTTACTGCTTCAAATATGACATCATGATACTTGAGCATTTTTTTATTGACTATGCTCGATATCATACTATCCCAGTGTGTAGAGTTTCGTTTTTTTTGAGCATTTTACCTCGAGAAACTTTAAGTTTGAAAGCATACAAGGGAAGAACATGATAAAAAATTCTGAAATACCGAACAAAACCAGCATCTTCCCTAAAACGGCTACGCAGGTCACGAATCTTATTTACCTCAGTTCCTTCGGTCGGTCTGTTTGTCGGTCTGTCTTTCAATATTTGACCAGTCTATAACTTGCAGAATATTGGTCGGATTTTGATAGAATTTCTACACAAGGTTCCTGCCATGCCAAGGACGGAAAAGCTCTTTCCAAATATAAACTGTGTAACTGTGAATTTTGCCATTTGCTCTCAGCTGTGGCCTTCCACAACTGCTCATCACTTTCCCTCCGCATCATACATTCTTCATTTATGCACGTAGAGTTCTGTCATCAGCAAAGGTGTGAATAGGATTAATCGCAGAGGAGATAAGCTCGTTGAAATATGTTGTGATTGATGTATGATTGTTGGATTCCTCCTCTTTTCGGTCTAAAATTTAAAAGGTACAGAGAAAAAAGATGAATGTCACAAAAAGTAAGTTTCGAGAAAAGTGAATTTGAAAGCTTAAAGACTCGTAGACTCATTCTACAGGGTGGGCCATTCACCGTTCTTGGCGGGTCAAGGTAAGACTACCAATATACCTTTATAGGGTCAAGTGGTGCAAAAACGAGACGATTTTCAAATCTTTTAATTTTTTTCAACAAAAAAACGGACTTTAAGGCTTTGTTATATTGCCCTGTATACAGAAAGCATTGTTACGTCACGTTAAAAAAGTTAATAAAATTCATAATGAAGGGCGTTTTGTTAAAAAACCGTGTCTCATTTTTAACCACTACTTAGGCTAAACATGAGATAGTGAGAGGTTAAAAACAAGACACTGTATTTTCTGGCCTTTTAATCATTTTACATCAGGGTGGCAAAATATGAGACCCTGGGGAATAAAAACGAGACACACTGCAAGGGTGTTAAAGCGTTTAGTAAGTCAAATAACATAGTTAGGTTTTAAAGAAAACTCACATAATTAAATACAAAGCTATGTTTATTAAACTAAAAAGAAAACAAATCCAAAAACAAGTTAAATAAACCATACCTAATTAAAAAAGGGGTAAAACAAGATTTTCCATAAGATTTTAAGTATTAAAGTAGAAAACTTATTATTCTAACGTATTTTGTACTACATATTATTATTGAACGACGTATTTTTCAAAGTCGATAGGAGACCAATATTGCTGAGAGATACGACAGGCCTTACTTTCTATTTCTGGTTGGGGAAGTTTCATTTCTGTCACTTTTGTCGATGAAGTACTTTTTCTCAATGGCCGGAAAAACAAATTTAAATCCTTTGCGCCTCAGATATTTTACTTCTACATCGCTCTCAAAAACTTTAAGGATTTGTTAAACTTGCGTTTTTCGCGTTTTTTTTGACTCAGTCTATTGCGTTTAAAAAAAATTTCAAATTAATCTTTCCCGGGCTTTCCTTCCTTAAACTGGGTACCTAGTACGGTGGTTTTCTTGTACATAGGTTTGAACTATTGCTTGTATCTCTGGTTTAGTGAGAGCAAACCCCCATTTTGCCATAATTTTTATCTTATCACTTAAGTCTACTTCCATTTCTTTGGTTAGAGAAGTTTTCTTCCCTGTTTACCAAGTGAACGAGTACGTCTTCTCGAAAGAGCAGATTTGCCAATTTTAAACTGTTTAGCTGCATTTCTAAGAGATACAGTGCCATTATCTATTAGTTTTAGGACTGTTTCTATGTTCTTTTTGTTGTTGGGGCGCTTTTTGGGAACGTAAACCTTCGGCATTATTATCAAAGGAATAAAAGCTGTCTTGTTTTTTACCTGGCAGGTGCCTTGTTTTCAAACTTTGTGGTGTCTCGTTTTTGCACCTGTTATTGACGACGTGCCTGCTTACCAACAAATAAAAATAGACTAAATTCGATATGGAATATCATAGCCGCATTTAGTATTTTCAAAATGCGATACTTGCCGAGTCTCTACGATCACGTGCAGTAGCGCAACAGGAAAAGTTTGTAAATACAATTTAAAAGATTTTTTAAGCAAAATGCACGAATAGATGCGATAGTTTTTTTCTCGATGTTTGTGTTTACGGTTATTTATTATTCATTACATATTTCAATTGTATATATGTGGAAGTAATTTGTAACGTATTTTTTACAATGTTATTGTTTTTTTGCATTGTTTTTGACCGAAATTTCGGCTGTCTCATTTTTGCACCACTTGACCCTATATCTACATCTCCCTCATACATACACATACAACACACGTTTTTTAGTTGTGTGTCTCCGTCTCGAAAATTTTGTCGTTACGTATTCAATCATATTTGTCAGAGTGACAACTTACTTAACATCGGCGTGTAGTTTAAGTTGTCCTGTTATCAATTTTCAATGTAAAATTGTAGAATGCCCGGAAAAATTATCAATGGAAAACGCCGACAGGAACAGAATGAAAACGGCGGTCCCCTGTTACCCACTTCATGCGTACTGGAGAGAGTAGCAGATGCGCTGGAGCTTAAGAGCCGGAGACTCGATCTGTTTACTTATTTCAGATGGCGTTGATGATATAACCATCAAGAACGGTGACCACAACTAAAACATAGATTCCTTATTATAAGAAATTGAAAAAGGTTAAATTATAAATACAAAATATTTTTTCATATACAGGGTAGCCAGAAAGTGGAAGCTGACCAAACATTTTTTAATGTATAATTCTTTTTATTTTTGTACTTTGAGATTCTATTTATGGTTTTAAATATTCTTTATGTGTTGACGTCCATGCATGGAGTCAACTTTTTTGTGATATTGATATTAGAAATGAGCCTTTCGTCATATGCGACACCCTGTAAAATTTAAGGGTGGATTAACCAGTAAAATATCTTGGATTTTACGGCCTGCTCCAATATCGGAACTACCTTAACAGGGAATTTATTGCACAGGGCCTAGAAAATGAAAAAATGTGATTTTCTAGCCTCAATAGCCCAAACACGGAATTGTTTCTAAATATTTCTTTACTTGGGACTGGAAAAAAACAATGATTAAAACAAGCTTTATGCAAAAGAATTTAGAACAAACAAAACAAGATTAATGGTAAATGCTAAATTGTTGTAGTAGCTACTAGTTTCGGTGACAATCAGTGGAGGCTCATCTTTTTTTCATACAACAGCTGTGGCATTCAGCTTTTTTCCCTGCACGGCAAGTTTTTAATTGGGTATAACTACGAACTGAAATTATTTTTGCGTGTTTCCGATACCTCATGGGATTGTACTATCTTCTTGTCCAATTTCGTGTGGAGAAAATAAGTTACAAAACTTGATCGTGACGTGCGTGAGGCATACGGGCTAAGTTTTATATATACAGGGTGTAAACGTTATGTTAGTCGTTATTTAAATGGGTGATAGGGGGTTAAAAGAAGCAAAAAGTTTCATATAACATGGAGGTAAGAACGGATTTTTTTTTAGAGAAAAGCGACTTTAAAGTAAAATAAAATCTGACAACGCCGCAATGCTAGACGCAAATTACGACGGAACGCAGTGTAAATAAAGATGGAGTTTGTTATTTTTGGCTCCTCGGTATTATTTCATTATTTGATAATGTACTCGTAAAATTCAAACAGTTAAAAAAACGGAGTAACCACTAACTGTCTCAACGCTTCACCTGGTGTGTGAAAGTTTGTTGAACGTATTAAAAAAATCTACTTATAAATAGGGAACACAATTTTGATACATATATTGTTTTTCTTTTTAAAACCCACACTGCTCTTTTTTTGTATTTAAAGAAGATGTTCAAAATGTCGTTCTCCACTTCCCACACAAGCTTCATTAGGACGAACCCAGTTTCTTCTTACTCTAGGTCCTCGAAGTTGTCCATTTATTTCAGCTGCATTAACATTTTTTTCGCGAAGTTGTGCTTCAGTTGTTATTGGACCAGCCCCATAAACCATCCCTTTAACTTCTCCCCAATACCAGAAATCCATCGGATTGAGTTCAGGACATCATGCTGGACATTTTCGAGGATCAGGAGAATTTCGACCGATCCAGCGATTTGGATAATGTTCATTCAAATACTGAATGGTGCCTCTAAAAATGTGTGGTGGTGCTCCGTCATGAAGAAAACAAAAATTCTGTCTCCGTTGTAATGACATGTTGTCTAAGGCCTGTCCCAAAAGTTCTGGTAGGTTATTGGCTAGAAAGCTAAGGTATCCTTCTCCTGACAACTTTGGGGGTAACTCGAAAGGGCCAATTACCTGATCGTCGAGAATACCCGCCCAAATATTTATTTTGAAACGTTGTTGGAAATGACCTTCACGAGTGGTATGAGGATTTTCTTGGGCCCACGTGTGAGTATTACGGAAATTTAATACCCCGTCTCGGGTAAAAGTACATTCGTCCGTCGCTAGAATGTTTTTACAAAAATCCGGATTTCTAATGTGCAAAAACCACTGACAGAATGTTAGTCTACGAGAATAGTATTCTGGTAACAAGGCCTGTACATGGTAGGGATAATGCAAATTTTTCCGTAGCATTCTATGGACTATGGTATGCGATAGTCCTACGCGGCGGCCTAATTCCCGGGTGCTGATATCTCCATTGACTTCCAAGATATTTAAAATTCGTTCCTCCTGCTTTACAGTAACCTGTCTTTCACGAGTGTGAACAATTCCTGTATCTCGAAGTCTTTGGTACACTTGCACAAATGACCTTACGTCTGGGTGTACCCTTTGGCGAAATCTGTCGCGATACATTTGAGCTGCAAAATTTGAATACCGACGAGCTTCACCGTAAACTGACAACATTTCGGCGAACTCTTGATTCGAGAACATTGTAAATAAACACGACGACGTACGCGAACAAAAACAAAACAACACGCCCAATGCTCTGCTTGACAATACGATAAAGTAATTTGTCTATACAAAACGGTACCTAGCCACTGTTACCGTTTGCGATCGATTGCCGGTTCGATAAGAGTGATGAAAGACCGACGCGCTGTTGTCATGTGTGTTTTAAATATTTAATTCAATGAAACTTACTTACTGACTTCAAATTTTGGCTTAGAAAAACTTAATGCCATTTATTTGTTAATTACCCAATTTAAAAGCGTTTTAGATTGGACTATAAGAATTAGTAAGATTGTGGTGATTGTGGCCGATATAAAGCACTTTAGACCTTTAAGGCCATTTAGACAAAAATCTATTGACTTTTGGACCATAGGTCATATGAACTTTTTGACTTGTTTTGTTCCCCCACCCCCTATTACCCAGTTCAATAATGACTACCATAACGTTTACACCCTGTAAAATACCATTATTTTTTTTCAGCCACCTGAAGGCAGAGTTGCAGACTCTTCGCCGGCGTGGCGCCCTTCGCGCGAACGCCGATGCCAACCACATCCAATCGGGCCCTACCACCGATGGCCCCACCAGCGACGGCCCGTTCGCCCCTACAGCGGCGCTGATCAACCACGTCAGCAGCACAGTGCCGTTCATCGGGGCCTGCCAAGAGGGGGCCAGTGACCGGGCCTGTGGCCGGTGTCGGGCAGAATTGGGCCGGGTTATCAACCGGGGGGCGTACTGCAGGGCGTGCAGACTGAGGGTGTGCAAGCAGTGCAGGCAGTACTCGTTCCGGACCACCGATTGGGTGTGCACCGTTTGTCATAAGAGAATGTGAGTATATACATAAAAAATGTTTATCTAAGACTGTACCTACATATACTAAGTGACATATAAAAACGAACACCCAGTTTAAATGGTTTTATTTTAATAAAAGTTGGTGAATGTATTTATCTTACTGTAAATAACAAGTGAAAAAATTTTCAGCCTTATCAGTTGGACATTCCGGTTTTTATACTGCTTTTTTTTAATTCACTAACGCTCTAAAAATGAATATTTCAGCCGCAGTAAAGAATCAACGTTGGCGGATTTTGGTTCTTGACATCCTTTACGATCGGTTACGTTGCCTAGAGTACGGAGACCTGTACGATTTCGTCAACTTAGTGAGTTTGATAGGGGCCGTATAGTGGGACTTCGGGAAGCTGGACTTTCTTTTCGGGCAATTGCAGTTAGAGTGCAAAGAAGTGTAGACACTGTGGTTAGGTGTTGTCAGGCATGGCTTCGAGAAGGCCGTACGCAAAGAGCAAGGGGCACTGGACGCCGCCGTAGAACAACAGACCGTGAAGATCGCCGCCTAAGATTATTGGCCTTAAGGGACCGTTTCTCCACTACCAGGTCCATTGCAAATGAATGGTTTGCAGAACACGGAAGAACCTATTGGCATGCGAAGTGTTTACCGACGAATGAGAAGTTTTGGCTTGGTTTCATACCGGCCACACTGGGTCCTCCCTTTAACTCGAGAACACCGCCGTAATCGCCCTGAGTGCTGCAGACAACGGTCACTCTGGGATCAGGAATGGAACAGTATTATCTTTAGTGACGAGTATAGATTTTGCTTAGGCATTCACGATGGTCGTGCCGGGGTTAGAAGGCGACGTGGTGAAAGGAGTAATCCACAGTTTCTTGTTGAAAGACATGTTCATCACACTGTTGGAGTTATGGTTTGGGGTGCTATAGCTTATGGTTCCAGGTCACCTTTAATCTTCATCAGAGGTAACATGAACGTGCAACGTTATATCCACGAAGTTCTAGAACCCCATCTTTTACCCTATCTTGACACCCTGGCAGATCCAACTTTCCAACAAGATAATGCCCGACCACATGTTGCAAGAGTCACAATAGACTTCTTTCAACATAATGATGTCACATTGTTACCATGGCCACCAAGATCTCCCGACTTATTCCCAATTGAGCACGAGTGGGATATGATGGGTAGGAGATTGCTCAATTTGCAACGTCCTCCTCAGACTCTAGAAGCACTTCGAGAGGAGTTGGTGGTTGTGGAATGAGATACCACAGGAGGACATTGACCACCTGATCAGAAGCTTGCCTAGGCGCGTTGGAGAATGCGTAGCACATCAGGGTGCATCCACACATTATTAAAGGTCAAAGGGCTTTAAAGCAGTGCAATCATTTTGAAATTTTTATCATTTACTTATTATGCTTCATTAAGTACTAATACAAAATTTTATTAAAATAAAACCATTTAAACTGGGTGTTCGGATTTATATGTCACTTAGTATATTAACCACGGAGTTCCCCATTGAAGTGTCTTGGGACCGACTCTTTGTTTTTTTTTATGTACATCGATGATCTGCCAAACTGTAGCATCAATCAATGTATATTATTTGCAGATGACACGACATCAATATCCTTCAACCATAATTTTGGCCAAGTATTAATCGATTCTCAACAGCATTCTGGCAATATACAAAACTGGTTTAATGTCAACAGCTTGTCTCTTAATATAGCGAATACTCAATCTCTTCCACTCAGTACTCGTCCACAAGTAACATCACAGAGACCGTGAAATTCCTTGGAGTGTTTATTGATGCGAACTTAACTTGGGAATCACACGTAACAAACTTATCAAAGAAGTTATCTAAAATAACTTATATGATCCGTACTTTGAATACCTACGTAGCAAAATCGACTTTAATGACAGCCTGTCATGCTTACCTCCAATTTAACTTATAACATGCGTGCATACTGATTTGGGGACATTCATCTCATGTATCGAAGGTGTTTGCTGTTCAAAGACGATGCTTGAGAATAATAGCAGGCTTACATTCCATACAGTTGCAAGATGGCTTTACTGATATAAAAATTTCAATAAGTATATACTGGAATGTCCGATCCATGTTAAAAATAATTATGTTGATTGCAGAACTCCAAAGGAGATTCACAAATATATTCCCTATGTTCATGAATTAGTACCAGAATATACAAGACTATCAAAAACACGGAAGTAATTATTTAGTGACAAATGCTTTTTACAGCATCGATGAGTTCTTAAATAATGAATGTTTCCATAATTTTTGACTTTTTGTATTATTACTTAGTGGTTGTTTTCGACTTTGTTTATGTTGAAGTGTATGTGTTATTTTTTTGTATTTCTTGTTATTGTTCAAATGCTGATGCTTTTCTCGACGTGTGTATACACTTTAGTGTACAAACACTAATAAATTATTACTACTATTATACATTGAAATAGGGACAGTCCCGTGTTGTTCATAGGGCAACATTGACCTATGTCAAGCCGCTATTTTTTGCGGATGTAATATCCCAACTATTATTTTGTTAAAATGGGCTACCACTGAAGAGAAACTTATTTGTCAAATTTGAATAGTTATATTGTTGAATAACGTCCTCAAAAGTTGAATTGTCTTGAAAGTTGAATCCTTTGTCAAAACTTGGTAACTACGTATCAAATTAGTGCCCTGATAGACCTTTGACCGAGAGGTTAAATTGGTTGTATCAAAACTATCAAAGTCCCACATCATTCAAGTACTTAAAGAATTCTGGACCTCCTTATGTTAGGTTGTTTTTTTGGCATATTGGTAAGTAAAAATTATCTTATTAATGACCGATAAAAATTCCTTCTAGGTTTGCGACATAGATCGGTAAAAAACAAGTCAATGTTTGTCTACTAAATAGTCCTATTATACACCTTGAGGTTACGACAATTCTTATGGTTACCCCATCCTTCTTACTGATCTCGGTTGCTTTAATTTGCATCTAATGCAAAATCTAAGTTGTCTGAAGATTTAAACCGGAAGAGGCCTAAGCTTTATAGGCATACCTCAATACAAGCGGGTTATTGAAAGAGAAAGGTGCGTTCCGCTCAATATTCTGACTGTGTAATACAGAAAGTAATTTTTTCTTTGGAGCATTCCAAATACGGGTATTTTAAAAAACCACACAGTATAAACCACATAACTATCAAAATCAAAAACCAAATGCTACTAATGAATGCACCCTGATATATCCATATCTCACACTCTCTCTCTCCCTGTGTCTATGTCTCTCTCTCTCTCTCTCTCTCTATCTCTGCGCCAAATTTGGCTTTAAGTAATTATTATGTCTGAAAGAGGGCAGGTCGAAATTCTGGAAAGGGCTATATTTGATATATTCTCTTTTCAATATTAAAACATGAACATCAACGAAATGTTTAGCTATGTTGCTTTTTCCAAAAATTAAGTCACCCAAAACACGTAATTTTGCATATTTTATTTTAATCATATACTTCTCAACAGATACAATATCAAATTACAGAGAAACATTGTACAAGTGTTGAAAAACAAATAGACACGCATACAAAAATAGTATCATGGATTGATGGTACTAAAAAAATCTACGTGTGTGTATCACAAATCCAACACAAAGTCCGATCAATGCAGTACTAACACACGCAAATTACTATATTTCTGAATGTTAATCCCACTCCTAAAATACATAAGGATTAAAACTAAAAGGTACCGGAAATCTAGAAAAGATCTACGTCACCGAACAATTGTTAAATATGACAATATAATTAACAGCTTAACACAAAGCGCTCTTATAATTGCTGGTTAAGTTATTATCAGAGTATAGCCCTGTTCGTATAGCTGTCGCCAACCTGTCAGTGATCGTGTCCAAGATCCCGCCACACAAATTCCGTTCATTCTTCTACGCTATGTAGACGGAATTCACACGGCCGAATCCCAGACACAGTCACCGACAAGTCACCGACCTCTGTACGAACAAACAGTGTATCGTCACAACTGTCAACCAAATTTCTTAATTTAACTTATTTCTAGGGCAGTTGAATTTTGGGTACTATTATGGCCACATTTGACGAAAACATTTCCTTCGCATAGATTTTTTGTTCACTAGTGACCGAAAATTCATTTAACAAACTCGGCTATAAATTGAAAGTTCGAACAGACCTCCTTCTCCTTCAACTCAGGATGTGTTGATTTTATTACCATAGGTGGAAATCAAAGATAATCCTAAAATAATGAAAATGAAAACAAAATATTAATGGTTCGAACAGATCTTCTTCTTGGGTTTAACAGTAATCTACTGTTGCAGCAACCTGTGCGAGCATTTTCTGGTGTAACATATTATCAACGCCGCTTCATTGCACGGCCTTCTGTATCACCGTTGCTAGGGAATTTGGTGATGACTTTCGCTCTTCAGCCGGCTTCTATCTCTTTCTAACATGTGTTGATACACACATCTCGCGCTTCTCGCTCGTACACATTGAACTCAAGCTATCAGACAAATTTGCTTTTCCCTATATGCATGTGTGACTAATTTTAGTAACTAGCTTTTTGGATTCTTTCCTTATGACATTCTAGAAATGTCAGTGAATGAACATGAATAAGGGAAATGCTAGGGCTTGCGTACGAAGTCATATGCTGTCCGGATTTTAGGTTAACGGGTATAAGAGAATGTTGACCTACTGAATAAACGTTTATTTGTGAATAAGATGAAAAAAGTATAAAGGGGACATTTTTACGATAATAAATAATGAGCTTACATAATGGTTATATACAAAAAAGTCTTATTCGAACTGAGTATAAGCATACAATATGAATACCTCACCAAGGCAACTACGTTACATGCGAAGGCTAAGAATGTTTATTAAACTATACAAAAATTTGACGATAATATCCGTATACGTATATTTTAGTTTACCTTTTTAGTTGCTACATCTGGCAGTAATCCATTTTTCAATCATACATCAATTCAAAATCCTTAACGTAACCTATTTCCTAAAATCAACATAAAAAATCAAAAGTTGTACCAAAAATAATACAATCAGAAGAAATCATAGCTGATAAAAAAGTACTTTATTCTTTGTCACATGTACACTTGGCGGTTTAATGTTGTTGTAAGATGCTACTAGCAATTTTGGGTTCCAGTTTCATGATTATAAAAAACAAATTACAAACACACATTATAAGTCAGTTACAGCGCTATAAAAGATGGTATAGGGCGTCCCAATAAAAATGGAAAGTACTTTTATGAGCAAGCTGGAAAAGATATCCAAAATCTGTTATCGCAGGTACCCTGATATGTTACTAGTGCATATTTTAAAATTGATTTAGCATAGACATAGTATGCATGTATTTTTTTAAATAGAATACCATATATTTTAGCATATTTGGATAGAGCTTCCAAAAACGAGAAGTTTGATATCATTATAACATATGGTATCGATTGTCAATTGTTTAGATATTTAGTGAAATATCTGAAAAAATGTACAACTTGGTCTGCTTCCAGTTCCGCCAATTTGAAGATATCTAGATAAATTTTAAATTATATAATGATCGATCCTCAGCTGATCTGAAAAAATTCTAAAATATCTTTCTATTTATGCAGCGTATCTCGAAACGCAAAATATACCTTTTCTCATGAACTTGACTTGGGACGCCCTGTATATTTCTAATCATCAAACAGTTTTTGTTAGGAAAGGTATATTTTGCGTTTCTAGATACCAAGAAATGTAAAAAAATTTCTATTCGGCTTAAAGTTGATGATAATAATTTTTTTGTGAACCAAGATTTATCTAAATATCTTAAAAAATGGTGCAGCTGCACGTCGTCAAAGCTTGGCATTTTTTCAGACGTTTGACCAAATACCTAAACAATTGACAATCAAAAGCATATGTTATATGAAACTCTTATTTTTAGGAGCTCTATTCAAATATGTTCTATTAAAAAAATATGTCTGCTATGGCACGAAGTTATGTAACACCCTGTATATATTGAGATAATTTTAATATGTGTAACAGTAACATATCAAGGTTGCCACGAAAACAGATTTTTGAATAAAACGACTTTCCATTTTAGTTGGGGACACCCTGTATAAAATCTTAAAATGAATCAATTTCAATTAAAATAACTCGTATCAAACTGACAACAATCCTACCAAAAACTTCATACTATTGAACTATCCAATTTGAAAATTGAATGCAGTAGGGTCCTTGCTAGCCAATTCTGTTTACTGTGATTCTTGCAGTAATATTTCATTGCAATTTGTTTTTCAAATCAGCCACAGACGTTGTCATCTTCCTGACGTAGCATGCGCAACTGCCATTGTTTGATCTCGAACCTTCGTTTTTGAAACTTGACGTTTTTAGTTGTATCAGTAGACGTTGTACAACAATTCTCGGAAATATGTGCCCATCACGTGACTAACTAGCTCTTTGTTTATTAATCAGACCTACCGCAATGGCACATTCCAGAAAGAAGTTGAATGTTCATAGAACCGCAATCGCAGTTGGCACCGTAGATAAGACTATCAAGAAGAAATCTGTCTGGCTTTCAGTAGGGTTAAACTTTTTCCGCTCAAGGCTGTATCTGATTTTAATACTAAAAAGCTACACTGAAGTAAGCAATCACTCATAGTGAAAAAAAATGCACATCCGGAAATCGCAAATTAACATTTTCGGTAAAAAGCATACATAAAATGTGGTGTTAATAAAATTTCACCGTCTTATATGTCCTACAAAGTTTTTAGTGAAAGCAGAGCACTAAATCTGAATCTGTAAATGCTTGAACGAATATTTTGACAGTCGTCTAGTTCATAAACATCGACCGGATATCGTTCTACTCCAGCTTCATATTTGCTATTTTAATACCAGCCACTCACACATGCAAATACGGTTAACACCAGGAGGAAATATTCGTCGAATAACGAATATCGTGAATCTCGATATTCTCCGAACACCAATGGGTGCGTGGCAGACATTATGCGAAACAACATAAGTTGTTTGTTTTAGTAGTTTGTATCAAGACAGAATTACATATACTTATTTGAACACTAATTGAAACATAAGTCTTCTATTTCTAAAAAACGGCTATCTTTGGTTAATTCACTTGAAAATAAACCTAAAAACTAAATGTGAAATATGGGAGATACAAAAAATACATACACACATTAGGCAAGACACACAACACATTGTTAAAGTCGTAACAGCTGCTTACACCACAGAGAATTCGCTGTTTTTCCTTTTGAAAACGCTAATGAAGACTAATATAAATAACGTGATATAATGATTAATACCTGCGATAGCTTTTATATTTATGAAATCTGAACATAAAATAGTTCAAACACCAATAACTATAAACTACAATACAAAAAAACTGTGTGATGTCATAGTTGTCATATGAGATCTCTCTTTTGGATTAGCTGTCTCGCGAGCCTGACACAGAAAGTACGGCTAATATGTTATTGTATTGTACTGGAATATGCAACCTCCTCATTCAATGAGATATGAAATTCAGCCTAACCGATGAGGACCATATATGTGTTAGAGGAGCTACATGTTACCGCGTTTGAGTGGTTGGGATCTTCCTTTGTTATCACTACGTGAGGACAATAGTTACGGAAGAGGTCTACGTCCCATTTACAAGCAGTAGTATCACCATTGTCGTCCTTTATCCTTTGGTCTTCGGGGCAGTGTTCGAGGATATCCTCCAGACAGGTGGATGACTTGCAGAAATTGTTTTGTCCTGTAGGTTGAATCTGGAACAAAAAAAAATGTTCTTACTCGATAGCCCTTCGTAAGACGATTCCATGCATCTTGTCACACTAAGCGAAAGACGTTTGCCCCCATCATCAATCTATAAAGTTTCTAAGGTGCCCGGTGTGTTGACTACTTATACCTTTACCACTAAAACGAACGACGAAAATTGATATGACTTTATAGTAGTGCCATTTTTGTAGAAAGAACCGATTGCGCATTGTGCCCGCGCATCGTGTCGCGTGATGTCCGCTCAACCTCAGACACACTTGGCGAGTCTTTCGCTACGCCGCCATTACGTTTCACATCTCTGTCGGTGTTGTTTGTGCCGCTATACTGCTTTGTTTGTCGCTATATCAATCAGCAATTACGCCGATAATGAAGTGCGCACAGTGACTCGGTTTGTAAATAAAAAAAACTTCCTCCTGCTGAAATTCACCTGCAGCTTGTTGATTTAGGCGCGCTATACTGCTATTCAAATCCGCTGGGGGAGCTTGCTCTCTACCGGCGTTGCTCGGCTTCACGACAACGCTCGACCTCACGCGACACGAACGCAGATGCAACTGGACAATTGGAAATTACTGGATAATCCACTACACACACAATAAACCTTCATAAATGAAGTTTATCTGACTCAATTAAAAAACCATTCATTCTTAAAAAATCACCTCTAAGAAACGTTATCAGTTTCAGCCGATTTTTGGTACCAGGGCTTTGCAGGAAGAACTGTAAATAAGTTTTTCTCCAGATTTTATATGGTTTCAAGCAAATGTTGGGACCTATGTTTTTCTGAAGGGCTAGAAACCGCGAGTTCCTGAAAATTTCCAAAATGCAAACAAAAACATTGTATTTTGTTTTGAGAAGTCAAAATGTAAAATTTTCCCAAAACACAAAGTACTTCCAGACAAATATTTGTATGAATCTTTTTTTATATTGTAACCTTAACGCGCTACACTGCATTTTAACTTTTCTTAAAACATTCCGGTGCGGATAAAGATGACTGGAGAAACGATAAAATGATGAATTTTCCAAAAGAATAACTCTCCTTATTAAATTGTTTCAAAATGTTTATTTTTGGTACATGAGTAGAATGTTGTTTTCATCATGTATCACCATGTAGGCAATTGCATAAAGGCGTTAAATTTTGTGGGTAGCCTATCTAGGCGTATCTAAACTATGCAACTTGCATCATAATGGATATTTGCATTTTTATTACTGTGAATTGATACAAACAATACTGCGTGATTTATTTCACTCTATACTAATTAGTAAAATAACACGTAACAGAGAAATGGTTATAATCAAAAATTTATGTCAGACATATGTACAAATTATTATATAACAAATAATAAAAAAAGTATTACATTACACACCATGCTTGAGAAAGTGGGCGAATTATTAATGCGCAGAATCATATCTTTTAGAAGGGTGTGATCTTTTCATCCCTTAGTCAAGTATTTTGAGAACTGATTCAAGGGTAAAGCTTCCAATGTTGCAGTCAGTCTTTTCTTTATAATTATTAAGGTAAATTACTAAACCATCAGACTCAGAGACTATGGATTTATAGACTTTTGATCTAAATGTACAGCAGCCAAAATAACACGATATTAAAATTATGAAAACAGATACCTTCTATTTGAAAAATGTCTTTTGGGTTTTTCGCAGTTTATTTTTTTAATTATTTTTTCGACCGCTAAAACATGAGAAACCATATGTCATCGGGTGGTGACGACTGAAGATCACGTCATTCGAAACATCGTCAATCAAAAAAAAATATAGCCAGTAGGAGTTCAAGAAACATCGAACATTGTCATCAAGTAACAATGAGAAACCAACAAATATCTGTCGGCCTATGTGATTCTTTATACGCAGGGTGTCCCATAAAATCTGATGCGTTATTTGAATTATGACCAGCAAGCGCGTACTCAGCTCAAAACGGAAGGAGACGACTTCAAAAAAAAGTTTTTTTTGGTGAACGCTCCACAAATTATATCTGACATTATTCTTCCTTTATTTCATTTCATTGCTATAATTTCCCTTGACAATTCATATGGTTATGAAAACTACCAAGATTACTTTTCTAAAACATTCAAGCAAATATTGATTTTCCCAAAATCGTTACTATTTATTTGAGACAGGATTTGAAAATAAGCTGCACACAGACATTGCCACTTTTTGATCTCTGCGAGGTAGCCTAAATAAAACATTCATATGACTTTTTGACTCTTATTCCCCATACTAGCTTTGATTTTTCTTGTGTATGCCATTTTTGCATAGTCGAATAGCTTTTAATTCTGACTTCAGATATATGCACGTCATGCATTATTATAAAAAAAATTCCTTTGTAAGCGTAGACATTATCATATAGTCATTTATTTCATAGAATATCACAGATGGCATGTTACGCATTGATCTAAAAACTGAGGTGCTCAACTTCATATCATCACATAATATATATATATATAGAAAATGATCACGCGGATAAGGGTAAATAACAAAAAGTAGGAAAATAATGGGCAAAATCCGCAAAAAGGAGGAAAGTGGATACGAGCAGAAAATAGGATAGGAAACCCGAGCGATACGTATTTCTGCTGGTTGGCTTCATCAGGCCCGAAATGAATGCACCTATGAAACTACAAAAGTAGATACACATGCCCACACATCCGGATACGGGTGTAACCTGAGGAAACGAAGATGGAGAGAGAAAGAAACGTCACATGACACGTCTCCTAGCCATTTTATACTACAATGTGTAGGTTGGCTTTTGTTGTGGACTTGCTATGTCGTTTTTTTCCCTCTCCATCTTCGTTTCCTCAGGTTACACCCGTATCCGGATGTGTGGGCATGTGTATCTACATTTGTAGTCCACAACAAGAGCCAACCTACACATTGTAGTATAAAATGGCTAGAAGACGTGTCATGTGACGTTTCTTTCTCTCTCCATCTTCGTTTCCTCAGGTTACACCCGTATCCGGATGTGTGGGCATGTGTATCTACTTTTGTAGTTTCATATGTGCATTCATGTCGGGCCTGATGAAGCCAACCAGCAGAAATACGTATCGCTCGGGTTACCTATCCTATTTTCTGCTCGAATCCACTGTCCTCCATTTTGCGAATTTTGCCCATTATTTTCCTACTTGTTGTTATATACAGGGTGACTTCGAAGTTGAGTCATTTATTTTAACAGTGAGTAGATCTGATCAAAAGAAATGTTTTTTTCCTTTACCATTTTTCGGCATTCTCTGTGGAGCCTTCATCAGGATTCTGAAAACACAATTGTGATGCTAGCAAAGAAAACAGGACAGATTTAAATTGTCAATCAACTTACTCGTCGTTGAGGTTGTCGTAGAGAAGATAGAACTTGTAATCAGTATAAACACAAAAGGACGGGGACATTGGGCTTGTTGAAAACGACAGATACCTTCGTTACATGTTAAAAAGATCAATCCACCCGAACAAATTAAACATTATTACACGTGAGAAGACATTTTAGTGAAACAATCGGAATGCAGTCTCTAACATCCTACTTCCGCTACACGTGGAGAGGGGGGCGGCACGGAAAGATAAAGCGTCGACAGATGACAAGTGATTGACGCGACGGACCGTGGAACTGTAAACCTCCTTGTCCAAATTTGGGTATGAAGTATACGAGGGACGTTCGGTAAACCTCCACCCAAAATTACTAGAATGCTGAATTAATGTGTTTTGGAAAAATGTGTGTAGTTCATATGAGCGTTCGAATGTGTGGTATTCATACAACCTTGATTCAACCAACACTGTCTATCGCATTAATTGCAACAACTGTAATTTAGTTTATATAGGCCAAACTTCTAGGTCGCTGAAAGGCGGGATAACTTCACACAAAAGTGACGCCAGATTACATCCAGAGAGATGTGCTTTGGCATCGCATATTAACAACACAGGTCACTCTATGAATTATGGCAGTGTTGAGGTTCTTGATAAAGAAACAAGACTCTCAAAACGTTTATTTTTAGAAATGTCCCACATTCTCATGACAGATCATTGCATTAATAAAAAGGCTGATGTTAAGCAGCTCAGTGTCATTTATTCCTACCTGTTGAATTGCGAGAAGCTAGAACGGCTACATATCCAAATTGAACCAATATCTTCACAAAATTGGAATACATTTTCTTACTCACATTTTTAATATAAACTCACATAACCCATATTTTCAAGGTTGTATCAATATCACACATTCTTACACTCATATGAACTACACATGTTTTTCCAAAACAAGTTAATTCAGCATTTTAGTAATTTTGGGTGGAGGTTTACCGAGCGTCCCTCGTATACTTCATACCCAAAGCTGGACAGGGAGGTTTACAGTTCCACGGTCCGTCGCGTCAATCACTTGTCATCTGTCGACGCTTTATCTTTCCGTGCCGTCCCCCTCTCCACGTGTAGCGGAAACATAAGGTTAGAGACTGCATTCCGATTGTTTCAACAAAATGTCGTCTCACGTGTAATATTTTTAACTTGTTCGGGTGGATTGATATTTTTAACTTTTAACGAAGGTATCTGTCGTTTTTCAACAAGCCCAATGTCCCCGCGGTTTGTTTTTATACTGATTATAAGTTCGATCTTCTCTACGTTCGTTCTGAAACACCTTATGGCTGCAACCTCACCGACGAGTAAGTTGTCTGACAATTTAAATCTGTTTCCTGTTTTCTTTGCTAGCATCACAACTGTGTTTTCAGAATCCTGATGAAGGCTCCATAGAGAATGCCGAAAGCTTGATTTTACCGTCAAATGAGTCAACTTAAGCCTAAGAGATTTGCCAATTTTCCAATTAACAATTAATTGTATTATATATATATAATTAAAATATAAATATTTGTATTATTTAAGGGTAATAACGTCAGATCGGAGTTCGTGTAAACAAGAAAACGTCGTAATGTTATTGTGCAAGTTTAAAATTTGTAAGCATGTTTGAAAAGTTTTACTTCGCACTAAAGTTAGGAAAAAGAATAAAAACAACCTA